AACTCCACCTATTCTTTCACAAAAATAAGCAATGCTAATTATTTACATCAGTTCTTTTTGCTGCCATGAGCTGCATAAAGTAATAATTGGACTTGAAAGGGGTTTTCTGGAATACTGTGAAAATAAATGGGTTTATACAAGGTATAAATCAGAATTTACAAGACAAATTCAATCCCCCGATATCACACTTGGTTTGAGAATTTCCATTAGTGAGTGGTGTATTAAATGCAGGAGAGAAATACTTTCTACATGGCTCCAATCCAGCTATGAACCTGTTCCATATGCCATGCTGACATGAAACATTTAGATCCACTAGATCTCTCTCTATTTAACTCAGGTAAAAAGCTGTCAAGATGTTGTCAAAACTTGCTAACAATGCCCTAGGTACGGACACCACTAGTCCAGAGACAATGCACATTGCACACAAAAAATTTTTTGTGGGTTAAGGGATAATTGCCTCTTAATCCAACAAAGAGGAGTGTCAAAACAACTGTTGATGTCCTGGTTTACAGATTAAGGACCTTAAGTTTTCCAAGAAAGAGCCTACTGTTCAGCTGACCTGACTTATGCTTCACACAGAAAAAATGGTTTCGTGGTTTTTTTGCAAAATCATTTCTATTTTTCTTAGAGAGAATATTGTTCACCTATTAATCAGGAAAGTTTTACAATGAGAATTTTATTTGCCCATTCATAAAAATGCCGTGCCATTTGTAGCGGCAATAGTACCACAAGACATGGTGAACGTACAACTTTTCTTTCTTCCTTGTGACTGATCAGTGAACTCTATTCTGTAAGAGTGGGGATGTTTGACCTCCAGCTGGTGTAAATCACAGGAACTACATACCTCAGGTTGGACTAAACAAGTGTTAATTTCCATAGCTTTAGTACACAGTTCTACAGACACACAGATTTGGACATACACTCATCTTTTTATGTAAAAGAGGCTGACAGATAATTGGCCGCAAATTTTCAATTTTTTTGTCACAATTTTCCTAAGAAAGGAAGATCTATAAAATGCCCTTCTTATTACAGAACTGAAAAAATCATTAGTTTGATAATTGCACACTGTCTTCCAAAACCAACAAATATATGAAAAAGATCCACACCAGAAAGAAAAAAAAAAAAAAACAAGGCTGAGGAATAATTTCACAGTGTAACTTTGTAACAAGTCCCTGGAGAAAACCTCTCTTCCTTTTGTTCCCATCTGCAAAGCTATGTAATTGATTCCTAACTGCTGTGTTAATGCTCCCAATTCCTGGCAGAATCCCTTTGGAAATACATTAAAGTAAGCAGGACTCTCTCCTGCTGCAGCCCTTTGAACAGTGGAATCTGGGATTCTGTGACATCCATCATGTTTCAACAGTGGGCCACAGTGCAAGCATCTGGGCCAAACAGCTGATAAATATTAATATAGAAGTACAAAGTATACTGAATTATACATTGAAATGTAGAGCAAATCAGGGAATTGTTTTCTTTTGTAATGAATGACATTCTCTTACAAGTACAGTTACATTCCACCAAATAGAAATTAAATAAGAGCAAATAATATTTGCTATAGCATGGTTTATTAACTTCTTATAATGACTTGAAAAATTTTAAATTATGACAGGCGAGTGTTTTTTAAGCAAAGGACTTCATCATCTGCAGGATCAATAGTTTGATTCTTCCTGATCTTCCTATAGCTTTTTCTGTACACACACACAGACTAACAAAAGAAAAGGAATGAAGCAAAAAGGATTTAGTCCAGCTCCCAAATTCTACCCCAGTCAATACCCCAGTGACTGTCAGAGCTGTGCATGAAGGTTTGTCTGCCTGGACAGAACCAGTGACATAAGATGACCTCTCTTCAGCAGACCAGGAGAGAAATATGGAAAAGATGTATTTCAGTTTTCACATATGGTGCCTAATTAACCTTAATTAAGCTTGTGTTGAGGGATCTTGAGCAGCTTGCACAAGGGATATCTGCTTCCTGGTTTTTTTTAGCTTTAAGAAAGGAAGATTTCATCTCAAAAAGAGAAATACACTTATGAAATACAAATTTTCATGTTCCAATCCAATTTTATGAGGCAGTAGAGATAAAATACCCATGTTTTTATTGTTCCCTACAAGTCAAACTATTTTAAAAGAAAAGAACAAGGATTATAATAAAGGAGATTATCTGTTCTTCATAGTTTAATGTAAAAAATAACCAAAAAACCAACCCTAAACATTTTACAATTTGGGCATATGTTCCCTTGTGTAAAATTAGATTATTTTTATCACTTATTTTAAGCTAACTACTCTGATGACCCTAAAAATGAATCAACCTTGGCAGCCACACAATTTACTGCAAACGTCTTCTCTTCGACTATGGGCCATCAAATTTCACAGACAGACACCACTGCTATATTCTGCACATTTCTGATCTTAGTACACACTGGGTGGCAGTATGGAAGGGTTTTGTTCAAACTGTCATTTGTGGGAGTAACCCAATACAAAATTGTAAAGTTAAAAATATTTTTAAATATATATGAATTTAACACATTAGATTATAAATATTCGTATACTTGCCAGAGAGTTCTCTCCCTGCTTCTTGTTAGAATAACACTACTTGAAAAAAGAGTCTGTGTTAAGCAAATTCAGTGCTCCCTGATCTGAAATTTTTCATATTGCATATTGCCTGAGAAGTTTCTTTCTGTGTGGAAAAAGTCAGCTAATGTAATTTAGCTATTTCTGAGACTGCAGCAGAAACAAGAACAGAATTCTGCTGTGTCAACAGATTAACACAACTTCTTGTGTTTGAAATCTGCAGTGCATCTGTGATTTACAGCAAAAAAAAACAGAATTTGGAAGCAAACTAGCTGTGTTTGCAATTAAATGAGAAATGGCAGACCTAGATATTGGGGCACAGGGGGCATGATGACAGAATTGAAAGCAAAGTCCTTCTCTGAAAGGGACAGCTGACCAAACCATGTGCCTCAATTGACATATGGAAATCATTGATTAAGGACTTTGTGGTCAAGACAATTGAAATTTTCCCTGAAGATTTGGTCTGGGTATTTTGGGTTTCATTCAGTATGGTTTTTGTTTCACTGGTTTGTCTTCTTGGCCTTTGTCAAGAACTCCTGCCTTATGATATTTTCTGAGTTCTGCTTCTCTTTAGGTCAATTTCTTCAGTTTTGGGCAGTACAGCTGAGGAACTGAGGAAATGCAAATTGAGACTCAGACGTGTAGAAGGTCTGGAGACTAAATTACAGTTACAGCTGATGGTTTGGGGAACCACAACATGGGTATACACATTTCTTTGTATTTTTCAAATTTCCAAGGCAGAGACTCAACAGGAGAAACTTAAGGCAGGACACTGCAAATGCAGGGCCTTTGAAATCAATGAATGTTCAAGACTTTAAATCTTTCTCTGCCTCAGCTCTTTACTTGAAAATTTGGGATGACAAGAACATCTTCCTAGAGCATACTGTGAAGATAAATTCATCATTTATCTGTGAATCATCCTGGCTAATCCAGTCAAAAACACATGGAAACTAACATTTATTTTTTCCCCAGAAAGATTTTAATGGTATATCATTTATAAAACCTAAACATAATCAAGAAAAAATAGTACTGATTGATATAGTTCATGAAAGAACTGTGTCCATTTTTCATCTCTGAAACTCTCAGGGCTCTGAGTAAAAGCAGCAGATATAAGGATACATACTCATACACCAAGCAGGCAAATTTTGTTGCATACAAAAAATAACACTGGCATTCCTCAAATTCTTTGGTTTTCTCTAGTGCCATTTTTTGTTACACCCAAAAAGATATTGACAGAGCACATATTAATGTGCAGATAATAACACCAGCCATATTATGTTGAGGAAAAGACTTTATATTTTGAATATTTTCAAAATATAAAGGACAGGCAGGAATACACTGACATCATCCCTGAGTTTGTGAAGAAACATCCTCTTTAGACTCATGACAGCATATTTATCTATTATTGATTTTATATTTTCTTCTGAAGCATCTAGCATTGACAATTGCTGGTGACAGGATATCTGACTAAATGGATAATTAGCCTGATAATTTCCCCAGGTTTCCATGTGAACTGAGGATGCTATAGCAGCATCTGGACCTGATGAGCACATATGGAAACAGCTGAAATGGAGTGATGGCTTAAATCACTGCTTAGAAAGAAGCAATGAGACAATAGTGCATGTAAGCAGGGGTGCTGAAAGCAGTCTCCATTTTATAAGGGATATATAGGAAAGATTGATGTAAAATCTTGACATGGTTCTTTGCCTTTCCCTAAATTGACATCAATAAGCATCTTCAGTATTGATTTTTGCTTATTATTTAAATGGCCTCATACAAATACAGACATTAAGCCAGATAAATGCAGAGATCAGTATAACTGCAGCTAAGAGTCTTTATACCAGAAATTATACCAATTACTCCCCAGGCTGGCAAGCCTGACTAAACAGAACTCCACCCAGACTTCTGAATGCAGGGCTTTAAAAGCAGGATGATCCCTAATCTCTACTTAGTGTCATACCCTGCAAAAACTTCCTCAAGCCTTCTAACTGAGCCTGTAGCACTCAATATCCCCTCTTCCTTTGCAATGTCAGATCAATATGAGTTGAAAGTGTGCTGGGGACACAGAAATTATCTCTCCTTCTGAGACAGAGGGGCAGTGAAGTGCCTTTTTCAAATACTCACAGATGGTTCGTTCTCACTTCTGTGAAGGCTGTGTTCCTATCAAACACAAATGTCTAATTCATGTTTCTTGTTACCTTTCAGGAATTACCTCACAATTGCCAAAAAAAAAAAAAAAAAAAAAGATTTCAGGATTTCCAGACTTACCTGTTCAGATTTAATCAGACTGTTCCAGTGAAACTAAATCATGTGAAGGTGGAACTGTTTTACCACCAAATGGATAATCAAGCTAAAATATTCTATATACTTGAATATAAAAAACTAACTGGAAATAAAAGTACATTAGCTTTATTTCTGAGAATAAACAGTACCTTTCTCCTGTCATATAATCCATGGTTATCCAGTATCATTTTCCTTTCATGTGCAGCGTACCTCCGCAAGTCACGTCCAAATTGCTGTCAAAGATAGAGCAAGTATCAAACACATGGACAAACCAAAATTCTTATCCTTTGCACCTTCTAACACCAAACCAAATAATAAACTAAGGACCAAAAATTACTTCTATTAAAGGAATACAGTCTGATAAAATCAATCATCTGAAGAGAAATGTTTGGATAAGGAATCCAAACATTTGCATCTGTCCGTCATTGCAGTCGGTTACTGTGACAGCAGTTGGGCTCTGTATAAAAACGCAAACCTGTGATGGGCTCCCACAGTCTGGATGTGGATTAGCCCAACAGGGAGTAGGAGCTCAGTGAGGCAGAGAAAAATGAAGTCATTGCCTACTCATCCAAAGGGCCTCACACTGTGTGTTTTTAGTGTAGACTCCTATTGACAGAGTGGAGAGAAGGGCTTTTAAGTTGCCAAACACTTCCAGGATAAGAAAAGACCCCAAAGTCTGCAGAACTTAATCCAAAGTCCAAATAAATACATTTTGTTATCTCAAAAAAGTGACTGAAGTAACTCAAACTCAGCAGGAGAACACATCAATTTCAACATTTTGCCTGGTCTAAACCATCCTGCTTCCAATTAACCTGAGTAGAACAGAGTGGCAAGGCACCAGTACTGCTTCTAACACATCAAAAAGATAATTCAGAGCAGGCTCAGAAGCTCTCCATTGTACCATGCAAGCACTCCCTAAAAAATGAACATCAGAAGGCAAATATGTAGAACAGATTAAAAAATAATTCTGTCTGGAGAAAGATTAATCATTTGAGTTTTGAGTTTGCATTAGGTTGAATTTTTTTGTTTATAAAATAGTGTACTATTTTATATTATGCCAGCTAACTAGTGTCTATTGTGAAAGTAGCTATCATTTCAAGTTTTGTTATTAAAACACAAATCAAAATATATTTTATTTTGGTTCAAAACTAATGTTTAATTTTAAATTTTTTCCAGTTTTTTACATTGTGAAGGAGTCAATTAAAATGCAACTGAAACAAAGCATTTGATCTAATCCAAAAAGAAAGATATCAAATGTTTTCAATTTCCTACAAAACAAATTAAGTTCCAATTTAGAATATCTCTTCTTCAAATGTTTAGCTTCCTGTAATTATGTGATGCTTTCCAAATCATCTCTACCCAGGAACCATTTAAATTGCTTGTTAACAGCATCATGATGTAAAAGACAACACAACTGACCAAAAACCTAGCTCTCCAGTTTATAAACCTAAACACTAAGCTTCAAGGAAAATAGAGCTTAACCCTCCTAGAGAGACATCCATAAATGTTAGTGATGAATTCATCAGCTCCAGCCCATGACCAGTGGTGGATGACAGTATGAGATGGGATGTGTGGATATCAGGAATATTTTTTTTAAATCCATGAACTCTGAATAGTCCTGAAACATGCTAAGAAAACATACAGTGCTGTGCTTACTTACCCTGGAGCCTGTCCAGCCTAACAGAGCATATGGATATTGCTCAAAGGGGGTTATGACCAGATCCACACGGATTGCCTTCCAGTCTTTGACTTCTGCCATTTCCAATTGTTCTGACGTGTTGCAAGTGCTGTTGTCTACTCTTGGCTGATATAATTTTAAAATTGCAAAACACTTCTGAAAATGATCCATGGCATCAACTTTTCTGCTTGGCAGCTGTTCCTTTACAAATGTTGATTCAATGATATCACAATAAAGGAGTAAGCCCTAAAGAGAAAAATTGTTCACATTGAATTGCTGAACTGGTTTTACTGTCATTCCAGAGTTTCTAGACAGTTGACTTAAAAATTCATGTGAAATGTAATTTCAGTAAACAAGGAACTGTGCCAGGGCAAATCTGGGCTAAGGAGAGACATGAAACAGCTTCAGATTTTGGAAAAATATTTGAGGGAAATCTGCACTGGTAGATATCTGACAGTAGTGAGGTCCTGCCCTGTACTAAAGAGATAGAATTTGCAATTCTTCCTCTCCCTCCTTTTCTCCTAAACCTTTTTCTAGTTAATGTCAACAGAAATTAATGAGTAAAGATTGATGTGTTCCTACGTAGCAGACATCTAGAAAAATATTATTAGTCCAGTGCACAGTCTTGCTGAGGGATTCCAAAGTGGAAGATTCCATTTGGACCATATCTATTGCATGAGATTTCCTTGTGACAAGGTCTGGAATCTCCATGTCTTTTGCTCAGAGGAAATGCCCATTTCTTTAGGTCCTTGGACCACTTTTTTGTTTCTGTTTTAAAATCACTCCAAAGTTTACACATTCTCTTCCTCTGGACTAGGGGTGTTTTTAAATTGCAGTATTGAACTGAGAGTGCCTATAAGTGGTTTTATTTGATGGCTGTCAGTTGGTAACTACAATGGTGGTGTAGTTTAGGAATGGTATTCTCCCATTTAGTAGCCCAGCAAAAACCATTCTTCTTGCTTCCCCCTCCCCCGCCTCAACTGAAAACACAAAAGGCAAAGATCATGGGCTGAGATAAGAACAATTTCCTGGAAACAGCAATGAGGTAAGACAACAAACAGTAACAGCAGCACTATTAACAAAAGAAGGTATAAGACAAAGAACCAATTTACATGTAAAATACCAGACTATTTCAACCACCACACTTTCTCCCATTGGAAGAAAAATCCTTCTTCTAGGAAGAGAGAAAGTCCCTTCCCCCCATCCCTGGCAATGATGGAAAGTGGTATTGAATGACATTAGGGTTGGGCCATGCCCCTTCCCTCTGATCTGGACCAAAACCAGGACAAAGGGTCTCCAGATAAGACTCTTAATGTCCCAGGTAACAAAAAACGGATTTTTGGAAGAATACCTCAGTATTAAAAACCAGACTTTTATTATTTCTTTTATTTAGTGCAGGTGTGGTAACTTTACATGCCAATATCTTAAATGCCTTAGAGAATACTTTACAGTAATAAAATTATCTTTATCACTCAAAACTATAATTCTGCCCCACCCCAAAGAAAAGGCATATCAAAAACATTTAACAAGATATGATTTCCATGAAGAGATTCTGATATGTATTATTACATTCTTAGCCTCCAGCTTTTTGTTGATGATAGCTCTAAATTAACAATCCCATTATTCTACTGGAAATCAGTTATAGGCTCTTCATGGGTCAATGAGCCAGCCTTTTTAATGATAACTATTTTATTTGAATTGGCATTCTTTCACTTGCTTGGAATTTTTCTTGATTATGAAGATTTATTATAAATTGATATGAGAAAACTCCTTATGTAGCTTCTGCTCTTGGATTACTAGTTTCACAGTCTGCTGATTTGAAAATGCTTAAATTTAGCAGGTGCTCTGTAACATCTATCTTTAAAACAGCAATTTTTTCTTAATTTTACCCCAATGTCACAAGGCACTGATGCTTGCTCTTTTCAAATATAGACTCAAAACAGCTGTTGAGTGTTAATGCATAACTGCTTATTTTTCTGCTTTTTTTGATGAAACTATACTCCCTTCACGTTAATTTTCTTGTTTTTAATGCTAATAAAAACAATTTTAATATCATTCATCATTGACCATTAATTGATGAATTCATCCTTTGATTAAGCACCAATATTCTGCCCATTTTTTGTAAAAATCTGTTAGCTACTTAGCAGTATTTTCTCATTTTTTGCTTCATTTTTCTTTTTTGCCCTTGGAGATTTGGGACACTACACAGTATATACCAGAAGTCAGGGCATCACCATTGATAGGAGCCAAAGCCTAGGTCATATGCATTGGGATAGCATTTCTAATTAACCTAGTATAATTAGACAGTGGACATCACCATCACCCCACAAAGTAAAGGTGAAACGCACTTAGGTACACTTGGAAAAGGCACAGCCTGAAGGGGCGGTCAGCTTTGAAGATTGTGTGAAGTTCTGGCCACTGCTGCCTGCAGAGCTGTATCCTTCTCATTACTCTGAGTCAGGGAATCTGCAGTTCCTTGCACATTTCAGATTGATCTGTACACCATAAAGTGCTGTAGGTCTTGTTTACACAATTAAGTTTTAGTATGGGCATTTTAATTTCTCAAATTTACTACACCATCAAAACTAAATGTATTTTTTAGAACAGTTGTGTGAAGACTCTCAACAATTTTCCATTTTTAGAATGACTGCACACATTTACTTAAATATGCTGAGTGCTGGTGCATCAATAACATTGATATTGGAGTAAATCCATGTTCAAATTGAGGAAAAGTATGACTTTTTAGAAAAATATTAAATCAATCACCAAAAAATCAATCAAATATGGTCACTAGCATTCTCAGTCATTTTTAATTAAATGGAATTCTATTCCATATTTAGTGTTACATGCTGTCATTATTCATAATTGTTGCTAGCTGGATTAATTCTGTAAAGCTAAGTAGGATCATTTTATATCATCTGAAAATGAAATCCAATATGTTCTTCTGAAATGTATACATTGTTGCTCTAAATTTCCTCCTGAGATAGTTTAATAAAGTGAAACTGCATTTCTTTTTTTTTTTTTTTCAGTGAAATTCCTACATCTAATCCAAAATAGCATGTTAATTTGGAAAAATCTCAATCTAGATGAGATGGATAGAATTCTATAAAGTAGAAGAGCTAAAGGAAATGATGCTTGGGAGAAGTCAGCCCTTTTAGGATAAGAAGTGACTAGAAAATGGCATCAAAGATTTGATCAGCAGTGTAAAACTCAGCAGCTGCTGCATAATATTGCAGCTGCCTTGGTCCCTTTTTCATCTTGAAGGTCCCAGTGTGTGGGAATGATCTGTTTCTGAGCATGTCTGGAGCAGCCTGGCTTTGACAGCAATGGACAGATAGCACTGGATCCATCAATGAAGGCGGTTACCTCTCTATGCCATGGAAATTTGCACTTCTGAACAAGATAAAGAGACAGACAGACAGACAGACAGAGAGTTATATGTACCTACTCACCCACACACAGCTATACAATACACCCCAGAAAGATCACATGTCTTAAGAAATGCCAGATGTTCACTTAGAACACAGCAGGAAATTGAACACTTCTGCTTACTTTATACAATAACCTCACAAGCAGGATAATCAGATTCAGCCCTGTACTCTCTCTAAAGAAATTTAAGCCAAGATTTCTCATGGTCAGGGCTCTAACCACCGTGCAATAATCTCTTTTAGGTAAGAATTTCCTCATCTGAGTCAGAATGAACCAAAAAAATTAATAATGAATTTTGAAGAAAGATGAGACAGTATGTGTTCCCAAAGGAGCTCAGCATCATTATGGTCTCTTTCATCTGAAACAAAAGGTTCTTTCCTCTGGCTTCTTAATTATTTCTATATCTTGTCTTAGAAACAGGTTTTGTTGCTGGCAAAATCCAGCTGCCACTTAATAATGAATGTGTGGCTTTCCTGTGAACCCTGTTTCCAGCAAAAGAAGAAATATTACTTGCTCCTCACCATCCTTCTTTAATGGGACATCAAACCTTCCCCTTCCTGATCCCCTCATCAAGGGTGAATCCTAGAGTTTAAACCAGACCAGTAATACATTAAAATAGGTAAGCACAGGCAGGCGTCTCCATCACTCATTTTCTTAAAGCCAAAAGAAAAACAACAACACTATATTTACATTAATATAAAGGGAAAAACTGAAGAGTGCAGGAGGGCCTGTAGTAACAGTATCTCTTCCATTGTCGAAAGTACGTATATAATAGGAACAGTGCTAAATATAGCTATACAGGTTTGCAGCAAAAATGAAAGCATTTTTTCACAGTATGTGAATGAAGCTACATCGACACAGATGGCTCAGCCTGTTTGCCCACAGACTTTCAAGCTCTAACCCACAGAAGTAATTTCCTTACTTTCTTTATGAGGCTTTTTAGAGCCATTGAGACCATAACCTGTGTACTGCATCACAGCTTTTCCATTTTGCCACTCTACTTTGAAGACTTTGTGTTCTCTGTTCCCCAGCCTGTTTATCTCTGGTGATGCTGCATCAAAGACCAAAGGATGCTGATTTAGCCACTTCATTTTCAGCAGCTTTCAATGGAAGTATTCTGTAACACTAAACTTTTAAGGTAAGAAAAAGGCCCTTTAAACTATTTAAAGCTGTGGTCCATAATTTAGAAGTTAAACATTGTGGAATCCTTCACTCAGAGCTGCCAAAAGGAAGACAACATCACGACCTCTGTGATGTACATCAATTAATTTGGGCTTAGAAGGAGCAGCACAAAAGTGGCAAGCTGTGATGCAGACTACTGCAAAAAGTTACAAAGTGCTTTATTTGGGTTTTTTTCTGTCTTCTCCTCTCCCTTGGAAATAAAGATAATAAAAAGGCAAGAGGTGTATAAATCCTTTGTTTCTTTTTTGCCTTTTGATTCTGCTGGCAGTTTGTTTTTCAGTAGTGCCAGTAAAAGCCTGTACATTACAAATGCCACAGTAGAGAGCTAGTGTAACTAGTATAAACCATGAAATGTCTGGAGGACAAGCAGAACACAGGAAAACATTGTCCATAGGTTTAAACTATACCCAGCTTCTTTAGGTTTGGTTTCCATGACCATTGTTCTTCTGATATGCTGTACATGCTTGGATTTCTAGAGGAATCCTAATCTTTTTATCAAACTCCTGGCCACCCTTGACCTCCCATACTCTGCCTGCTCTCCCTTCTGCCAAATAGCCCCCTTAACAAGAAAACCAGTAAGAACAATTTATTTTCATTTTCTTTTCTTTCAATTCCTTTTAATGAAAACAGCCCAAATCATCATGGTTAGTAATCAAGTAGAGCAATATCCTGCTCCAAAATACTGCAGTCAGTTGTAACAAGGCATATGACATTCTTTAAGAGCTATATAGGCTTAATTCAGTTAGAACATGACTTTTTTGGTCAAGTGCTCTTTAGTTCATACCTGCTTTTTCCATAAGTCAATAACTTTATGCAGAAGTTCATCATCCTCTCTTGGTCCTGGATTGGTGATCAAAAAGTCTATGTCATGTCCAATATTCTTACCCCTAGAAGGAATAAATAACAAGGACATTAAAAGAGTTAAGTTCCTGTTGAATTTTGCTGTTTTCAAAGACAGCATTTTTGCTGCATTATAAGAAAAGTTGGTTGCAGAATAAAGTGATAGCAATGTTGCTTCAAACATAAACAAAATGGAATCTTTTATTTCTATTATGATGCCTATTAGTGTTCTTTATAAAATAATAATTACAATATTTTAATCTATGTTCTCTATTTTTCAGCTAAATACTACAGAACCATTTGCAGATGTTAAATCTCTTTCTTTCTTCCCCATAAGTCCCAAAAAGGAAGATTTTAGTCATCTTTGGATTAAAAAAAAAGCATAATCAAAATACAATGTTACATATTATGAATGCAGTGCAGTAACAACAGATAAACTTGTCAATCAAACTACCACAGATATTCAATATTCTTCTTAGCTTTTGATGAACATTTTAGTGTACAAAACTGTGATTATGAATATTTATTTGTTCTTTCACCAGCAGATATAAATCCTTCGACTATTTTGCAGTTCTTTTAAATATAAGAATGCTTTTTACAGAGATGGAGATTGATTTTTTTTTTTTTGAGGGCAATTCATCCTTAATGTGACTAAAGCTTGTTCATTATATGCACTAAGGATTTCATAATTAAATCTGTGTGCACAAATTTAATTGCAAATGTTCTTAATGAAAAATTATGCCATAACCTCCTGTTTTCCTCTTTTAAGTCTAAGCATTCAGCTTGTCTTTCATCTACTTTCCAAAGGTGTTAAACTGAAATCTGATTAAGACTTGGCTATCGTTGGAAAACAGGCAAAAGCATGTTATTGAATGTTTCCCTTTAGAATTATAAAATGCTTGAGAACACATGAAAATTTATCTCACAGTGCAATTCATGTGAGTATTGCAGAACCAATACAAGATTTTAATTTTGGACTTGGTAGTACAACAGAAACTGCACACACATTTACTGAGTGCAATCACTCCAGCCTAAGGAGAAATGAGCAGAGGAGAGGAGAGATTTCTGCAATGAGAATAACTCTTCTTTATGGAGTTGGTGGAGTAAGCACCCAAAATCTGGAGTAGTGAATCTTATGTGCAGGACATCTCCAAATGCTTTTTATGTGTTTATGGGAAAAGTCAGCTCTTGCTGATGCTCACAAGGGTACCTGATGATATTATTCAGGAGGGCGTTAGTCAACGTGTCAAGCATTCAGAGAGCTTGTGAACTGCTATTCAAACAATGAAAATAAAACTGTGCAACCCAAAAAAATCTTTTTAAAAAAAAAATCATTAAATTATTTATTCTCCTAAAATAATGCCTAAAACTGAACCTGGTTTCCTAAACTTGGAAATTTGTAGGAACAGAACTGATAGGCAGACTTGTCAACTGCCATTTGTGTGACATGAAGTCATCTAACTGATGGGTAGTTGAACAGCATTAGCACAAAGTTGTAAGGAGATGAAAGTCTGAGGTTTGCATTTGACAAGCAGTCATACTCACTATAATGCAACTATTGTGCTGTGTCTGCAGCAAAATCGAAATTGCTTAAACAGGTAGAAATTATTTCAAAGAGGTTTCAAACAACGCATCAGTCTAGGCTTAGAAACTGAACAGCAATTCAAAGTCAAGAAGTTAGAAAATATTTAGTATTCCATGTAACACTGAGTTATTTTGTAGGATGCCATTCATTATCGCTAAAATTACAATAATAATGCAAAGCTCTTACATAGCACTTTTTACTAACATGTCTCAAAATATTTTTCAAAGGTAAGGAATTCACTATTCCTATCTTAGAGATGCAGAGTGGTATAAGAATATTTGCTTTAAATTATTTTTAAAGAAATCAAAGGAAGAAATTGGAAGCTGATGGAATTGAGAGCTGACTCCCCATGCCTCCTCAACATCCACATATTTTAGATTAACAACATCTACAAAATCCTGCATCAATCAAACCATAAAATCACAGAAAATCCAAGGTGCTTCATTGGCCCTCTACTTCCCAAGACAGAGAGTATTTGTTGAAATGCTCTCAGTGGCTTTTTTTTTTGTGAGTTCAGCTTCCTGAAGCTTTGAGCAGGAAAATATTAAAGTTTTGAATTTCCTATTCAGAATCCCCTTACATATTTTTCTTCTGTTCAGATTTAAACCTCAATTTTCACTGGGCTGAAGCTATAAGAATCCAGCGCCTAAAAGAATGGAAATTGCAGCTTACCTTTTGTTCTAATAATTTATTCAAGCCTGAAGACAATAAAACACAGTGCACTATTAATTAACTGTGTTCAATTCTTGGCTGACTAAACTTGTATAAAGCTGGTAAATGTTTCTTAGTAGTCAATGAATTACCTTTAAGGTTGTTGGAACTATCTTTCTTGATGTTATTAGATTCCGAGTCACCAACTATAACTTTGAAAATATGTGAGGACATTTGAAGACTTTCTTGAATATATATGAGTAATATGCATAAACATAAGAAGAACAAATGTAATTGCTGAAGTGATGATTCTGTGGCAATGGAAAAGGAATTAGGAATAAGAAGGTTGCACATAGCTGAAGAAATATAGAGCAATGATCTTTTGTTTGAGCAGTGAAGAGAACACTTGTACAAGTAGCAGAATCACTTATTTTAGAAGCAGCAAACAAGTAATTTATAAGTACCATAAAACGCATGTTCTTGAGGGGGAACCCTAGTAACCTCAGTGTGCATGCCCAGTAAAACATGTAATTACACCTCTAATGGAACATGCACACATATGTACACCTAGTGCAAACATTTCTTTCTCTCTGTTCTGATATCAATGTCATACTTTTACTCTATCCTCTGTGCTGGGTCTCATTTAACTCCCACTGTAACAGCAGCATAGAATTATTGTTTGACATCAGTTGAATTTGACCAAATAGAAGTGGCTCAGGAATTCTGTCTAATAACTGCAGTCCTGATTAATTTGCTTCTACAACCTACCTCCAACCAACATGTGCCTTTCAGGAAAAGGAACATACATTTATATTCCAAATCCCAGGTAGTTTGCATGCCTGTGGATTTGCTTATTAAGCAGTCTTTGCTGAGACGTCGAACGGGGGACAGACAATTTCTTACAGCCAGATATTAAAATAATTCAGTGTTACTGTCAGTCAAACTATGAAGAACTACATATTTTCTTTGTATAAACCTCTTATAAAGAGAAAAACCTTTCTTTAAGCTTGAAGTACTGGAGTGTGACAGTGCTACAACTACTACATAGAAAGTAAAATCCTGGATGTTTGACAGAAGAAGAATTCTACCCATTTCAAAATAGTTACAGAATAATTCCTGGCTCTGATACCACAGATTTTCAAAACCTTGTTACATAGTGTCCCATCTTCACATATAAATTATTAGAGTTTTAATAAAATAGAAAAGCAGTGGTCTACAAAGTAGATCAACAAGTACAATTCCCTGAATATTTTGCCTAAAGAGAATTTACTGAATTCAGAATTTAATCACAAGTTTATTATTCCAGAACATTTTCTCCTCTAACCTTTTTTCAGGTCTGAAATCTAGACCCAGAGTAAATGGCTTTATTGACACAGAAGGACATTAACCTTTGCTACTTATACAATTAGTACACTGACAAGAAATTAGCAGAGTCAGATCTGCAAGGGTTTCTGAAACACTGATTTCATGCTGAAAGAGTTTGTTAAATGGAAGAAATTATTATGTTTCATTTGCCACAGGAACTAGGTAATAGTCAAAAGAAGTCGGAAAATTATTTTGTTTGTGGCAGAAAGTGTCTTCCAAGACAAGAAAATGCTGTAACATTTATTTGAAGTTATTTCCTCAGCAACTCTCAATTACATATTCTGACAAATAGAAGTTCTGACAAATTCTAACTGTAAAGGGTATTAACAGCCTAAGTAGCAGCCTAATACTGCACCAGCCCATTTCAAGCATAAATGACCAGCTAAGCTCTGTACACCACATGTTAAGCTGTTCTTCAAATCACTTCCAGCTTTATCTCAGGAGCTTTCCTTAATATTCAGGTCAGCTCCACATTTCCAAAACAACATTTAGATTCAACAGCGTCAATGCCATGGTGGTTCACATACATATAGACTAGGTAGCAAGAAAATAAATGCTCACTGAAGTGCAAAAGCAACTCAACCAAAGTTAACAATCAAAACCAGACACACAGAAAGCAGAGACAGCAGCATACAAAATGTAAGTGTTGGTGAGCCTGACTCGCATTGTGCAGTGCCCACTTTGGCAGCCAAGGCAGAGGGGAAGAGGGAACATTCAGTCAGAATTAAGCAGGGGCTCTCAAACATGCCAAACTCCAGCACCAGCTTCGTTTGTCCTCTCAGTGCTTCATCTCCACCTTAAACATGACACTGACGTAAAATCAATGAGGATGCCTAAAGCAAGATGCCATTTTAGAGTTCATCAAATTAGACAGAAGGCTCAGCTATACTGTTTATCACATGAAGCCATACTATGCTTCCCTAAGTTTGCAGTTTTAAGAGTCATAGATCACTCTGATTCCAGAATTAAAACTCAGAAAAGCCTTCCAGTGCAGGACAGGGTAGTAAATAGGAAGAAAGAGAAACCTGTAGAGATTACCATGTTACTTTCTGCAACTAATGATGAGCGCTAGATGACAATTTCGAGCAGAGTTACTAAAAATAATAACCAAGACTCCTCCCCATCTTAACACCACATATATCTATACCCTGATGTCAGTGAATGCCAACAGTCAGAACCTGCTGTTCAGAAATAATAACATTCCTGAAGTAATGAGGAAAACAGTAAACCAAGACCTGATCAGGGCTCTGTAGAAGACAGACGTGGGTTGGGCTTCTTCAGATAAGTTCTGCTGTCCTGGTAGTTATTTGAATTAGATCCTAATTGCCTTTGAAGGCAGTTTGACACCAGTGGTTGCCAGTCAATGTCAAAATTAATTCTCTTCTTTGTAATGCTACATAGGTGGTAAGGTACAAAAAAATCTCAGGTGGAGATGAAAAGTGCTAG